CTCCGGTCTCCTGGGTGAGGCCAGCCAAGACCCAGCCTACCTCCGTACCAATACCCACTCCTCAGGTGGAAGCGGCTAGTGCCCGGCAGGTGCCTGCACCTGTTTCTGTTCCCCAGAGGAGGGCAGATGAGCAACCTCTACTTCCACCATCTGCTCAATCACCTGCTCAACCTGAGCTGGAGGTCAGCATGCGGAAAGGACCTGCTTAGCCCAACCTGGTAGTCAAGGAATGGGAGGGACCTAGCCCTAGCTAGAGATTGGGGCGCTGGAGGGAACAACGCCTGGCAAGCTGCATGTGAGCCTTGGCTGACGTCCATGTCTTCTGCGCCGCCACTGCTTGCCACACAGGTGGCCTCCGGTCCAGTGCTACCACCACTGCTGGATATGCAGTCTGCCCCTGGACCCGCTTTGTCACTGCCGCCGGTGGATACGCGGTCGGCCCCCTGATCCTACTCATCCCTACCGCTGGTCCATGGGCTGGGATGTCAATGGTTATAGCCAATTACCTCTCCTGCTCACAGGGGTAGGGGGTATGGATGGGAAATGTGGTGGGGCATGGTTCATGGCGTGTCTGCGAGGGAGGCTGACACACCTGAGCTTGATCATCTCATTACGCCTCCCCTGTATTAAACGTTTCAAGACTTGAGGTCATTGTTGTTGTTGTTGTTGTGTGTGGTTGTGACTGAAAAGCTGCAAACGAGTTTGTAAGAAATGATAACCAAAATAAAGTGTGTAAAGTGTGAATATGTGGTTGGGTCTGTCATTCATGCCACAAGCATTTTAAAGCAGCAAAAATTATTTTTTTAAAATGCCATATAATGCAAGCTTTTCACGGTGTTGGCATTTAAGTAGAAAATGGAGTTTGAATACTTCCTCAATCTAAAAGTCAGCAGTGACTTAATTTTTTGAACACATGAAGCAATTAAATTTAAAATAACCCAGCGAATTTATTTTAAATATTTTATGTCATGTAGGTGTTAAACTGTTACGTCCCCTGGCTAGTCTAGGGGGTTTGAAGGGACTAACATAAAGGTAAATAGGGATGTAACATAAACCAAGAGGCCATATATTCAACCTGTGAATAAGTTTAAGCTAGCAACAAGGACAGTTCCATTTAAATAATAATTGTATTGAAGTTGAAAGTTTTACAAAATAGTTACGAAAAAATGTTATGGCAAAGATCTTACCTTTTGCTCTTTTTTAGCAGTGCTCTGTTTTGGGTCATCTCCTACAGGATATTTAACAGCAAACGGATTACAAGATTAAACAAAAGACATATTGTTAGCAAAACTTTACTAGTCTACACACGTCTGTTGCTGCCACGGACATCGCATGTCCTTATGTCATTGTCATGAGACACTCACAAACAAGTGTCTCATGACACATGACTACTAAAACAACTAAACAAAGTACTTATCACATTGTTTTGGAGCTGTTGAAACAGTGTGACAACAGTATATCTGTTAATGTAAAAGTGAAGTTTCATTAACATATTACCTTGCTTTTTGTAAGTGGATGGTTCTAGAGATTTGGCTGATTCTTCTTCTTCTACTGTTGTGCTGTCATTACTCTGTAAGCGTTGAACATCACTGCCTTCATCAAGTGGATCCCTCTGCTAGAACATACTTTTGTTTATCAAGTGAGAATACAAATGTGAAATCAAATAAAAGGAAGAAAATTCAGGAAACAATTATTCATGTAGTTTAAAACATACACTTGACTGACTCAAGCTGTGACTGCAACAAACTTAATGTAAACTGCATTGTAATCTGCATTTCTGATGGTACAGAAGATAGTCTAGATATAATCTGAATTAGTCTGCATTAATGAAAAATATTGTTAATGAACAATAATTGCCAATAACTTGGCAAAAGTGTGTTATCTTTATTTTGTTTCATTGGTAACTTGATTTTTAAACCCACACTCTCCCTTTTTCACTACCTACGGATTTATGGTGTTCTCTAAGCTCAAGCATTCATCTGCTCATCATTTCTGACCTGGGAAAATCTTCTAACATCTTTATTTAATACAATCCTGGTGCTTTTATATACACATGATTTTGTGTTGTTTTTTGTATTATGTAGATGTTTGGAGATCAGTAAATTGGACAAAAAAATCATGCATAAAATATACAACCGTTACTTTCACAGTACAATAATTTCACCCGTTTTTTCTTTTTTGCTTCATAAAGACAGTAAGTTGTTAAAAGGCCTTCCTAAAGAGTACAGTTTCATGAATTTATAGATTTGCGATAAAACAGATACATTTCTTTTGTTACCGTAGCACCATGCCAATTAGCAGCTAGGGTGGGGAGAAGGTCACTGAATATTGTCATCCATCATATTCCTTACCACCTTCTCACCATTTACTGGACCTGACTTTCTTTAACAGACTGATTTGACTCAGCTGTCACAAGGACAGATATGGGGAAATGGATTGTCATTGGTGGACTTAAAGGAGCAGTTTGTCTTTTTTTTTTTTTTTTGCTTAGTTATGTAGAGATTTACTCAATATATTAATTGAAAAAGATTTCATGTTTAGCTGAGTGGGATGAGCAGTTGACTATATGGCATAAGGCTGGACAGCAATAGGCCCGGATTTGTGTCTGAACCTCAGCTCTTTACTGCATGTCTTCCTCTTTGTCTCTTTCCCCACTTTCCTGTCTTGCTACACTGTTTCTTTACATTAAAGGCTGAAAAGGCAAAAAACAAAAACAAAAAACTATTTCATGTTTACCTCTGTTTCAGCTGTACTCTCCTGTGGCTCATCTCCTGCAGGGACATGTAACAAAAACACATATAACAGCTATATTCAGATATAGGAACATACAGAAAATAAATGCTTTGTTAAGTGGTATTTAAAGCTTTATATATATATAGAGTCATGGCCAAAAGCTTTAAGAATGACACAAATATTCATTTTCACAAAGTTTGCTGATTCAGTGTTTTTACATCTTTTTTTTTAGTTGTTCCTGTGATGCAAAGACTCAGTATTTGCAATGTTGGTCCTTCTTTTTTAAGACCTCTGCAATTCG